GAGGCAACACGTGTGAGGATAAAAGTCACAGTGTTGAGTATGCCAGAGAGCAATGGAAGGACATGGGTTCTTAATGGCTTCATTCCCTTTACAAGAAGACTGAAAGTCGATGACTTCTGACTAATAGACGCCTAGTGTTCAAGCTACTGTCTGTTGGGTTTTCTGTTATTTGCATCCTTATTTCTAAGTGATATGAATATGCTAGAATAAGAAATGGTAGTTTCTGTATAAACCATCCCTAAGACACAGCCATGGTTAAAAGTTAACATTGGGGAGCTGGAGTTGTGGCTCATTGGTAGAGTGCTTGCGTAGCACATGTGAGGCACTAGGTTCAATCCTCAGCACCACATTAAAAAATAAACAAATACAATAAAGGTATTGTGTCCTTCTACAACTAGAACAAGTTAGTGTACATATTTGCAAGCATTTATGCATTATAAATTAGCACACACACATATGCAATAGATGGCTTCATATAATAAATGCATTCTGTCCTACAACCTGCTTTTTACTTAACAAGATACCATGGCATATTTCTATGTTAGTATGCCTTTTCTTTTTATTGACTCAGTCTTCTATTACTAGACATTAAGGGTATGTCCAATATTTTCTCATAGTAAGCAATGTTGAAATAATTATTTTTGAACATACATATATCTGTGTGCACATATTAAATGCATATCTTTAATGTTGCACATTGTTAAACGTTGACCCCTCTATGAGAATGTTGATTGAGGGGCTAGTGTGTGTGGCATAAATATGCTTGATGAACCAAACAGATATGTCCCCTGCCTGGGGTGGAGCTTTGGGTCTGGTGGAAAGACTCACAGTCGTAGAGGTAAATGATGGATAGTTGCAAATGGTAATCAGTGATAAGCAGGAAGTGCATAAATGCAATGTGGAAACAACAGGGACCTATTTAGATAAGCAACCAGGGAAGGCCTCCGAGGAGTGATATTCAAGCTGAGAGTTTAAAGATGAGAAGAGTCCAGGCCTTGTAAAGACTAAGTGCATAGGCAAACCACCCAGGGAAGAAAGAGCTTTGATACTTAAGGAGCTAAAAGGAAAGGATGGGGCAGTCTGGGTCCAGACAGCACCAGGCCCTGTGGGGCATGCTGGAGCATTTAAGTTTCATTTCATTTCCTGGAGAGTCATACAAAAGCAACAAGTAAGGGTATCCAGGAATGTATAAGTTTGTATATCTTATTCATATTGGAATATACAAATCGACCAATGTATAAAGAGAAAACATTTATAAATGGAATTTAACATGGGATGAAAGTGCATATTTCTACATTTGTGGCCCATAATTTTATTTATTGAAGTTTCATTTTATATTTTAATATCTGTTAGAGAAATATTCCCTCATTTTTTCTATTTCAACATTTTTGGGTATTTCCCCATGTTTATTTATCAAACAAGCTTTAAAGTAATTTTGCCATGTTTTAGCTCACTCTTCACCCCAAAATCACATTGATCCTTTGATGTGGATTTATAAATTTATAAATTTATTTGGGCATATATGATTTTTTTAATATCGAGACGTTCTATTCAAGATGTTCTATTCAATTTTCCACTTAAAAACATTTTCTTTTTATGCCCTTCAATAAGACTTTATAGTTTTCTAATGTACCTTATCATTTCTTGTTAAGCACATGTTTAACACATGACTTGGAATATTTATTGTTAATGTGAATATATTTTTTTGCATCACACTTCCTAAATGGCAATCCCTAGTCTTTAGTGTCATACATGGGGGGAATCCTACAAGTAATGTCTCTCCCCCTTCTGAGTTTAGAATGAACTGAAGCATAGATAGAAGAGAGGATAGGACATAAAAATATTACCTGTATTATTGATAAGTATGATTAAAAGGTGTAGCTTTTGATCTTTAGCTAAGTAGGTTTAGCATATTCCTCCTTGAAGTAGATAGATTTAGTCTTATAGTTGCAGGAATTACAGGTCAATAGTATCTCTCTTTCTCAGAAACAGGTCCAGTTACTGAATAGTGAAAGAACATAAAAATATTTGCTTTCTGCAGTCAGCCAAATCCAGATTCACAAAGGGAACTCAGAATTCTCTGTTCTCCAATTCTTTCTCCTAAACTCATTAATCACTTCTTCTAAACTCACTCATCCTCCCAGAAGGTGAGAAGGCCAGGAGTCAAATTCTAATGTAAGTTCCTCTATTTGGAAAAGAAAGCTTCCCCCGTAACATTTAGGAAAGACATTGATTTTGCTGTTATTCTTAGTTGGATTCTCTTGATTTTTATTCTTAGAGAAACACTTAAATCATGAGCAAATAATGAAAGTGTTCTCTTCCTTCCTAGTATTCATACCTATTATTTATTTTTCTTATCTTATTGCATTGGCTTTAGGTTGTAACAATTATAGCAGGCATCCTTATTTTGTTTCTGATTCAACTGAGAATATTTTTTTTAGTTATAATTGAACACAATACCTTTATTTTATTTGTTGTTTTATGTGGTGCTGAGGAGTGAACCCAGGGATTCGAAAGTACTAGGCGAACATTTCTCTGCTGAACCACTACCCCAGCCCTTCAACTGAGAATACTTTTAATATTTCACCATTATACTTGTTTTCTATCATACTTTCTAAATCACTGGTATTTAGTGTTGTTGTTGGCTTCTGATACAAAACTTTGTCATAAGAAGTTTAAATTTTCCTCCTAGTTTACTATTTTTAAAAATTTATAAGTCATTGATGTTGAGACTTAACAAATACTTTTAAAGTATCTATTCTGTTGGTAGTAATTCATGACTTATTTACTTTTAACAAGACAATATATTCACAGATTCCTTAATATTGAATTTTATCTTTCCATTTCTGGAATATATATGGATTGATCATGGTGGATTTTGACTTGTTTTTCAAGTCAACTGAATTCAAATTGATAAAATTTTATTTAATCATGTTGCAACTATTATATGCCTAAGTGTGTCGATTCACATATTAGAGACTAATCAATGAGCTTTGGAATGGTGGTCCTGGCCCAGATGAATTGGGAAAATGCCAGGTTAAACAAACCAAATAGAGTTCTTTACTCCTAGACTTCACTGAGACCTCAATATACTAACACTGTGATTCTCTGAAAGGTAAACTACAAGTGCAATGCAGTACTTTTTTAAGTTATTAGAATACAGAAGCCCCTTTTCAATAAGCACACATTAAATTCTCCAGGGAGTATTATTCTAAACTTATCAGCAGTTCTCCTTTTTGGTATTATCCTTATTGAATTTTAGTATGAAGTTTATGCTAAACCTGGAAAATGAAAAAAAAAATTGTCTTTTTTCATTCTTCCCCCCCCCCTTCTCCTGGTTAACAGTTTAAATAACACAAGGGTTGACTGTCCCTTGATGGTGTGATAGAACTTGCTATAAAACCATCTGAGCCAGTGGCATTTCTGAGTGATACAGATGCTTGGAATGTGTGCACTTGAGTGGCTTCCCCACAGGATGTTTTCCTCGACAGCCAATTCTGCTTGGCATCCTTCTCTTTAGGATCAAGCTATTTTGGAAAAGCCTAGAATGTGTGAAAATGAGACTAAATGCATTAGCAAATTGATGCTGATCACTCCTGCATGGTCCTCTGCTCCAAATGAGCCAGCTTCCTGGCCAGCACCCTTTGAAATGACACACCCCTCTGCCTGGGGCTGCTGGCGGGGGCTTTGTAGGCAGATTTGGTTAAGCAGGGAAAGGTCTGGTCTGGTTTTCCTTCCAGCAGCTCTAGCTGAGGGTTCAGCTCTGGAGCCCCCCTCCTCAGCCAGCTCCATTCCATCCTCTGGCTTGTACCTTTCTCCAAGTATTGCAGGGGCAGGACTCCTGCTTAAACCTCTTGCTCTAGAGCTTCCTTGAGGCCGGCCTCCCAAACCTAGCTCTCGGCCTGTGTGGGTAAATCATTTCCCAAAACCAGGGAGGCCGAGAGCCGCTGGGAGATCGGGGTCAAGGAAGCCAGGCTGAGCCCGCGTTAGGGCAGCGGGGCGGTGGGAAGAGCCCAGGGGCTGCCCGGGGACAGTGAGGCCGGGAAGGGCTGGTGGGCGGGTGTCCCTCCCTGAAGAGGCCACTCGGCCCGGGGCTGCCTGGAACCCGCGGCCGAGCAGGACGGCTCCAGGGGCGGC